GATAATATTTTATTTAAATTAATATATTTTTATTTTTATTATTTTATTTGATACAATTTTTGACAATGGTTGTTTTTTTTATTTTAATTAGATTAAAGTAATAAGTTTTTTAGATTATTTTGAATACAAAAAGTTTTATAAATAATAATTTAATAAAAAAAAATATAGTAAAAGATTAAATTAAGGTAAATAAGTTTTCTAAATAATTTTTAAAAAAAAAAAATTTATACTTTTTTTGAAATAAAGTTTTAAAATATAAAACTTTAAGAAAAATTGGTAATATTTTTTCTTTCTGTTTCATCTTTTTTTTATAATTTTCTATTATTTAGTAATTTGATAAATCAATAAACAGTAATAATTTGTTAATTATAATATGTAAATTAAAAGAAACTTTATTTAAATTTATGATGGAGTGATAATTTGTTCTTGAAATCAAATTTTAAGATCATTTAATACCTATCATAGATTGAATTTGATTAATAATTTAATTACAATGTGTATTATGCTGCTTGAGTGTATATGTACTAAAGTATTTTGTTGATTAATAAAGAAAAAAAATCAAAATTAAAATAACAATATTGAAAAAACTTCTATTTAAGCTAATTATGAAGTGTCAAATTATTTTAAAGTTATATTTTAGTTCAATTAAATTTAGATAGGGATAGATAAAAATAAAAAATTTAACACGCTATTATTTGATGTATGGCTAATAAATATCCAACAAAGCATTTATTCAATTAGATGACAGGAATAAAAAAAAAAGAATTCTTGTTTAATATTGAATTTTATTATAATTAATTTACAGTAATTTAAAAAGATTAACTAAAGGATAGTTTATTTTAAAAATGAATGCCTTTGCATTTATTCCTGTTACTTTCCTAACCTTTCGTACTTTTGAAATCGCCTTTTTTTTTAAAAAAAATATATATACAGTATATACTGTATATGATACACTGTATATATATTTTGTTTTATGTTGCTTTATTTGATTATTTCAAAATTTAAAATGAAAAGTTTCGATTGTAAAAAAACAAAAGATTTTTTTGCCATGAAGTAAAACTTTGGCTTCAAACAATCAACGCTAAAACACCAGTCAATTCAATTATCTCTTGTTTTAATAGGTGACAATTATGATTTGTGATGTAGCAATGTGTTGTATGGATTCGGGGGATGTGTTATTAGGACATCACTGCTTCAATGATTAAACGAGAACAATGGATCACGTGTTGATAAAACAATCTTCTTAGTGCACAAATATTTTGTTAGCGAATTCCTAAACCACTTCTCTCCTTTCCCAATTCCCAAGGAGGCAATTCTATGGCGCAACATAACAGGAGAATTATTGGTTTATTATTTGGAGCACTGAAAATTGAATGGATTCTAGTTCGAACTTTAGTAATTTTATTTGTTTATCATATTGAACCGCGCAGTGAACATAATAAACATAGCGCAATGGTGAACACAGCGCATAAGCCACCAACACATCCGGAAGTTGCTATTGATTGAATTGATGGGCCGATTAGAATTCTACGAAGAAAAAGTTGTGTGAATTCTCCATTGGATTCAAGAGTAAGGATGAATTAACCGAAGGGTACCAGATATCATGAAGTAATAACTAGGGTGCAGGATATTAAAGAATTCATAATGATTAAGGTTTCGAATTGATATTGTCAAGAAACACGTGGTTCATGATAATACGTATTATGTTTTCAAATCAAGAAATGCATTTTCTATTTAAGTAAGGTACATCCTTTTGAATATGAATGGGATTGTAACATGATATCAAAAAAGTACTTTTCATTGTTGATTACCGCTTTTGCTAAATTCTTCTATATTCCTTTATTCTAATTTTGCCCTTTTTTAATGCATTTAATTATTTTTTTGGAAAGTTTTATCGATTCAATTCGTCGTATCACGTCATGGTTAAAATTCTTTTCTTCTCCTGAGAACTCAAGGAATTCTTTAATTTACGTAATTTATATTCCGTTGACAATAAATATTTTATTGGTGAGTATCTGGTTTTGGATTGCACAAATAGATCATATGCATGTATATAATGTCAAACTTACTAAACGATACTATTACAAATTAAAATGAATTACGCACAATACGATCGACAGTTGCTTTTTAAGGAAGACGCGTGCAATCCCGATGTTACTTTATCTCATCTATAATCTAATATCATTTAACCGATGTATGTTTTCGTTACGTGTGTCACAATGATTCTAACCTCAGGAAAATCGACCTCCATCTTCCCGTCGTTTCTTCCCAAGCCACACTTTACAATTACACATTCGTGTCTAGGTGCAAAACAATTTGGATTAATCGATCTATCAGTGGTTTCTTGTTTAGTACGTAAGTAGTACTTTCAAATGCCTGCTTAACACGGACTAACCATATAATGGTTTGATAATATGTTGGCTAACTCAATTTATTTAAACCCGTTAATCTTTAAGTTTGATGATGATATTCAAAGACAGATGAAATACTGTATTCTACTTTATAGAGATGTGCAGTATTCAGTACTTACGAAAATCATGTACAGAGTGCGTCTCAGATTACCACTTTCCGCTGTCTTTCATTCATAAATGGCTACCGCCGATTACGTAATCGTTTGAAAAATTTCAGGACGCCACGAAAGTCGCATGAACTTTCCTAAACTCCATCTTTTTTACTTTGTAACAATCTTCGTCTTAATTCTGATTCCGGTGTTCCGTCTAAGGTCAACTTTTGACTGATCATTTCATGCCTCGAATTAACAATCAATTAACCTTTTCCCATTCAATCCTCATTGATTTCACTTCGCGTTTTTACAACATTCCTAATTTAACTTCACTATGTATCATTTCTAGATTTTTCCGACCGCATGCATACATCAATCTTTGATAACCCGAACCATTTCATTTATTTACTTAGTTTGGTGGCTCATTCTTCTTCTTTAATCAATCAACATGCATTCTCTCATTTTTTGGAAATTTATGAGCAAAGAATAAAAGAACATTCTTTTTTTTTTTTTTTTTTTTTTCAGAAAAAAAAAAAGAAGTGAAATGGGACCATACTTAACGTAGGAAGAAGCCTTTGAAACGAAAATTAACGCGCATATAATTTTGACTTGCATATATTGTTATCATTGTCATCGCACATGTAGAATGATTTTTTACTTAACTGTTGATTTTTTTTTTTTTGTTTTTGTTTTGTTTTGAAAGGCACGTTTTATAAATGCGAGAATTTAATTGTAAGAACGCACTGGAAACACGTTTTTTTTTTTTTTTTTTTAAAGATTTTTTCATTATGAAACTTGTTTCCTCAATTGCGTGGATCCTCGGATATGAATTCTCTTTCTTTCTTTTTTTTTTTTTTAATATAACTCGCGAATTCCCGAATGTTTATCCGAACTCGTATCGGGATTAGAGCGAAATTAAATACTTGATTTTAATCAACAAAGTCATGCATTACTCGACTTCGTGCAAGTTTGAATAATGGTGATCGTGAATCGCGTGATACGAATCAAAGTGTTATGCGCACGAAAAATAACGAACTAGAGAGTAATGGTTGAACAGCAAATGTGTTACGTAAGATAGTGACTAAGAATTTCTGGTTTTAATGAATGAAACGTAATTTAAAAGATTACATTAAATAATCATCACATAAAATTCTGGATTCTGGATTGAAAGACAAGGGTCCTCTTTCTTTTTTTAAGAAAGAAAGAAAAAAAAAAAAAAAAAAGGAAAAAAAAAGAGACCGAATAAATTATAAAGGTTCGGAACATAATTCGGATAAAAAAATATTTTGGTTCATTATAAGTGCATGCGTTCTTTTAATGATCTCCGCAAATATAATGAGTAAGGTAGTAAACTCTGTTAGCAGTGTGCATTTGTGCAACTATCATAATTGACATGTATCGGTGCATCTTATAGAATGCCCCGAGTGAGGATTACAAAAACGTCATATGATATATAGAAATTAATAAGAACACCAATAAATCAATAATTTATGTCACATCAATTAAATCACATATTTGCAACTTATTAACTTATTTATCTTTTATATGATGTGCATTTTTGCTGCATTAGAATGCAATATGGGTATTTTATATTAAAAAAAAAAAAAACAAAAAAAAAAAGGGAAGAAATAAAGCTCATTAAACAATTGCAAGGTCTTTTACTCGGCATCTTATATTGTATAAGGACAATGAAATGGAATTACTAGATCATAATTCTTAAAAAAGATTTCCTAACTGACCGATCCCTTCCATAATTCTCGGGAATTGAAGGTCACACGTTTCCTTGCTATATTATTGTTGATGTTATCACACCATCTGTATGATATTTCACTAGAAAAATACGCTACACTAATTGCTGGTCACCTTGAAATTTTCTCGTGTTTTACTTTTTTTACGTTATAATTCTCACTTCATCCTTTCTAATGGTACAATCTTATTATAGATTAGTCCAAAATACCACTTCATATCACTTAATGTCTTAATTTAATGTAAACAAGATTTTTTTTTTATTTTTTTTTTTTTTACCTAGCCCTAGTTTCCGACGGTATCACCTCATCATAAATCAAAAGATCCCCTAATTAATTAGCATGGTCCTTCAATCATTCTTGTGTATATTGATATGATCTAACGCATCCAATGGCCTTCCTCTTGTCAACCTTATTTTTCATCTAAGAATCTTGTATTCGAACGTATGCAACTATCGTCTCGAGGATATTTTATTTATCCATCGTGCAAATCATTACAATTTATTAACATAATTTATCTAATAAATCACAACAAATCATTTCAATATGGGATTTTAAGTTCAATGTGAATTGGCATGGTGCTATATTAAACAAAAGCAGTATCAAACTAGCATCAATCCAGTGCACGATGGGCAATTTATAATCATACATTTTTTTGTTTCCCTTTTTTTTTCGTTCTATCGTTTATTAAATAATTCGCATTTTAATGAATATCTTTTTGAGGTTCCCGTGCTGCATTGTTACACCAATTGTCAATGTGTATCATCGTATATTAGTGACCTTTCTTTTTTTTTTTTCTTGGATACGCTAAATTGTCGTTTCGGTTTTTCATACGGTGGCTCTGGTTCTAGGGATGAATCCTGGTACTCGAGCGATTTTTGTGGCTTCTGTGGCTGATGGTCGAGGAAGATACTTTGCATACTTATTTTGAAAACATTTTTAATTGATTTGAATATACAGTATCAATGAATACCATATATACTGTATTAATTATTTTAGTTAATCGAATATTCTATTGTATTCGAAGATTATAATTCGAATCTAAAACTAAAATTAAATTTAATCAAATTGATTTTAAAATTCAGTTACAAAAGGAGATATCATTTAACTATTTAAAGAAAATAACTTTATTATTAAAGTTTTGGTTCTTAATTATATCACCTTCACATTAATACAGTGAACAATATACAATCATGCTATAAATATAAAATTTAAAAGAAGTGAAAATTTTTTTAGATCACTTGAATTTTAACTATCGATCGAAAAACTCTTAATCTTTAAAGACTAGCACCATTAATTAAATACGCACTTAATATTATAAAAGAATAATTATATCATTATTATTTAACTATAAAAATTCTATTAATAAGGTTTAAAAATATTATTTTTAGTAAATTTCTTTTAAATAAAATTACTTGTTTTTTTATTCTTTAAAAACTACTACAATCCTAAAAACAAATAATTAAAGAATAATTAAATAGTAAATAAAATTATTAATCTTAAAAAATATTTTTATTTTATGAAACTATTTGAAGATTTTATCGATAAACTTGTACTTTTTGATTTAATGATAACATTTTTCTATCTTATATTAATATTATGATAAATATACTAGTTGAAACAAATTATTTGATATACTATCACTTATGTAACATTTGATAAAAAAAACAATTTGTCAAATTAATGGTATAAATAAATTAATAACAATATAATTTAATAACAAATATTATAAAAATTAATACATTCATAATTCATTAATAATTTATTAAAAAAATTCATTAATAATTTATCAAATAATTTATTGATTATTCAATAAAAATTTATTTAAAACTATTGAAATTTTATCAAAGAATTTTTTAACTATTTATCAATACTTCATCAAAATTATTTAACAAAAATTTGATAATATAAAATTATAAAGTAAAAAAAATTAATAAACTTATACATAAAATAATTTAATAAAAATTTAATAATAATTTACTAATATTTTATCAAAATTTTCTTAATAATTTGTAAAAAATTTATTAATAATTTAATAAAAGTTTATTATAAAATCATTTATTGACAATTTATTATAATTTATTAATAACTCATTAAATATTTTATTAAATATTCAATAAAAATTTATTAATTATTTATCAATTATTAATAAAAATTAATAAAACTTGTAAAAAAAATTATTTATATTTATAAATTATTTGATTTTATTTATATATTAATATATAATTAATTAAATTATAATAATATAAATTATACTGTATATTATGTATTATATTATAATTTGTATTATTTATAATTTATAAATATAATTTTAATTCAGAAAATTAATAAGTAATTTTGGGATAAATTTTTATTAAATTATTAATCTATTTTTTATAAATTATTCACAAATTATTAATTAATTTTATTGTTAAATATTTTTTTTACTATTTTATTGTTAATTTATTATTAAATTTTTAATTTCTACTTTATTATTAAAATAAGAATATACTAAATAATAACAATCAAAAAGAATTTGTTAATGTTTTTATTAATAAATTTAATTAAATTTAATAATAATTTAACTATTGAATAATATAATTTTAATCAATAATATTAATTATAATTATTTCTTAATTAAATTTTTAACTTTACTATTATATACATATAAGCATAATTTTTATATTTAATGTAAAAAAATTTAGTTAATTTGAAAAGCTTATTTTTTTTAAACTCTTTATTAAATTAGGTATATATATTTTATTAAATATTTATATATTATATATTATAAAATATTTTATTAAATATTTGTATATTGTATATTATAAAATATTTTATTAAAGTTAAATCTCTAATCAATTTATTTATCTTCATTTTATATTTTTTTTAAAACTTCAAATACAATTTTAAAAGTGATTTATTATTTCTTAGTAATTTAAATAAATATTCTTTTAGCCATTAATATTATTGTTTATAGATTATTACTACAAATTATTAGAAAAAAATATATTAAATTAATAAAGAATTGTTTAAATAAAATTATTTATATTGTTTGAATATAATTTGAAACTGTATATAATATTATACTATTATTCATTATACAGTATATTCTTGTATTATATTATAATTTAAAGTTATATACTATATTATATTATATATTATTTGTTATATTATATTTATATTATATTACAATTCAAAGCTATTTAATATATTCATTACAACTTTGTCACTTTATATTACGATTTATCAATTTTTAAAAAAGTTAAAAAAGCATTTAACTTTAACTTTACACAATAAAGTTTAAGAAAAAATTCTAAAAAAGTGAAAATTACTTGTGATTATAGTAAATGCAATAAATTACTTATTGACTCACAAATAGAATTTTTCTATAATTATCAAAAAACAAAAAGTAAAAATTTGATAAATGAAGAATTCATATTTTAATACAGAATATAAAATATTTCATCAAGCTGAATTATATTATTAAGTAATAATTAATAAAATCTGAAATTAAATAATGCAAATTTGGAAAATAATAAATCTAAAGTTAATAATAATAAAGAAATAGATAATATATTCAAAGATTATTTAACTTCAAAATACAAATTTTCTTCTAATTTTAGCAAATTTTTGGATAATTGTTTTATGTAGATTTCATTATAAATTATAAACTGTAGAATTTGATTTAATTTATCAAATAATGTAATAGATATATTACTAAAATTTATAAAATTGATATTAATTGAAATTGTTGGTAAAAAAATTTGTGCTCTTGTGGATTTTTGTATTGTATATCACCAACAATATACTTGGATTACCAGACCAGTTCATTAGTTTTGTGGCATATCAAAGATATAATAAATTATATAGATAAAATAATGTTCTTGATTTTTAAAAAATAATCAACTATTGATTATAAAGTGTATTCATATTGAATTTTCTAATTTAGCAATAAAATAAAAAAAAACTTGTAATGTTTTATTGTCTACACAATCAAAATTATTAAATAGAAATATAATTAATCAACCTAATTTAGTTTTTTTATATTCTACTATTTAATATCAATTGTTACAAATATATTTAAATCTAAATTTTGGATCTAATCTTCAATATTAAGTATATTAATCAAGTACAAACAAACTTTTATATAATATTTATAATAGTAATATTTGAAAAACTTTTAAAGATTAAAATTCTAAATTATTTTTTAGCAAAGAAACAACTGATTCATATTTGAAATTGATATCAAATATTGATTGATTTCAACTATTTAATAATAAAATATATAATACTCGAGTCATTTACAAATTTACTATGCAAAATATAATTTAAATATGAAAATATATTAAATTAGTGAATCAAGTTTATATTAAATAAATTATTACCTTTCTTCAATTTTTGATGCATTGATATAACTATGGTAAGGAATAAAGTTCAATTTAATTACTAGAAATAAAGAGAAAAAAATAATTCAAATAAACTTAATTTTAATTTCATACAATATTTTTGTAGTACAAAAAGTGTGTGAACATATTTTGGCACTAGTATTAGGCCATTGTTATAAGAATAATATTGATTATGAAAATAATTATTACAATTTTGATAATATGGGAGATAGAGGTATTGTAACTCAAATGTAGTACAAAATATTTTGTCAGTGAGAATTATGTCAGATGGTTCAAATTCCTTTGCCTACCTTACTTTGATCTAATTCAATATATAATTATTGATTCTATGTACTGTTTTTTCTTAAGTATTGATAAATGGCTTGTTAAATGAATATAAATTGAAGAAAGAATATTGATAAATAATGTATTAGATAAAATACAATCAATAATAAAAATGTTTCAAGTATTACAGTATTAGATATTAGTTGAATTATAAAAAAAGTAAATAGTAGCAAAGGACTTTTGAACTTTAATACTAATCAATAAAGAAATTTTTTATAATATATACAACTATTATTTTATGAAAATATCTTCCAGACGTGAATCACTAAATTTTAATAAATATTGTTAAGATTTTGTCAAATCTTAGTATACCAAATTTTAAAATAAAATTTATTAAATAAGGTTCATGAAAAATTAATCACAATAATTAAATTAATGAAATAAAAATATGAAAAAAAAATTACTTCAGATCTTCATCTTTTGTTATATTTATATAAATGTATATATTATTATAGGCTATTATATATATTTTGATACTTTTTACTTGAAAGAATAATGGAATATTAAATAGATTTATTGCTAATAGTTATTAAAATATTGAATTTGAGTTAATATAAATATTAATAAATGATCTTTAAATTATTAATTCAACTATATTCTATTTTAATAATTAAGGGCTTGAAATTTTAAATAATCAATTAAATATCAGTTCAATTTCTGAACTAGATCAATTTTTAGTTGATGAGTAATATCTATATTTAAACAATACATATAATATTTATGAAGCAATTATTAATAAATCCAAATATTTTTCAAATAAACTTTTGTATCTGAAAAAATCAAATTTAGAGATATCTATTGAAATATGAAATCTATTAGTTGAATATTATAAAGTATCTTATAAAATTATAAACTTTCAGAAGTTATTTAGAAAGATAATGAAAATTTAATAATTATTCAGAATAAAGTAAATCAATATAGTTAATACCAAATTTGATGTAAAATATTTGAAATATTAAGAGCTTATTTATATTAGTTCTATTTATGATAAAAGTGTCAATTTATATCTAAAGCAAATTAAATTCTTTTTTACATATTTGATAAACTTTTTGAATAATGTTATTGAATATAAATTGACTTTTATTTAGTGATACAAATTAGTTAAATAGATTTTATTTTAGATCAAAAATGATATAAATATTAAATTGTAAAGTATTGAATTTTACTTAATTAAATATAAATATATAATTTCTGTTTATAATATTTTTAACTAATTTATTTTATTTAGATATAGAACCTTAAATCAGCAAGACTTTCATAAATATTT